ACAGCATACTCCACAGTGGACAAAAAAACAGTTTGCTGGTGCTAAGATGGCCTCCGGGGCCCGCCCTCTCCCTCGTCAACTCCTCTGAGACAGTCATTCATTCAACCTTTATTTAGACAGGTAATCCGGTGAGCCTCGAGGACTCATTTACAAGAGAGACCCGATTTCAACAAAGAAAGATGACAACAATGGACAACAGCAACAACAATAAACAATTATAAAAAGTCATATGCAGGGGGGGGGGGGTTTACAAATAGGCTGGCTAAAAGAAAAAGGTAACAAAAAAACAGCTAGATTCTAAGGCGAATGTAGAAAACTAAAAACAGGAACATGTCTGCGTTGGTCCCTGCCAAGAGTCCAACAGGTTCTTAAAGCCACTTAGAGAGGTCAAAGTCGAGAGCTTCAATTGTTTTTGTAAAGTATTCCAGGAAACAGGAGTGGAATAGGAGAAGGCCCTTTTGCCTAGTTCAGTCCTCATTGAGGGAACACTGCAGGTAATAATGTCCTGAGATTCCAGTACAGTGTGAATGCAAACAGACCGGACCCGCTCCGCTCCGCAGGGTACACAAACACACATTTCTCTGACCTCATATGGAGCCGTCAGCTGCTTTGCGTGGAAAAACAATATTCTCCATGGTCTTCTGTCTCATCTTCTGCTCATGCTAAGTCCATTTTTGAAAAATGACAAAATATAACTCCTAAAACTGCTAAAACTTGATGCCACTTCACTTCGTTTTTATTTTTATTTACTGAAGAAGAAGAAGACGTGTCTTCAGAGGTTTTTGTGTCGTTTCTTTCAGTAGTTCTTGGTGCAGCGCCCCCACAGGCGAGCGGGGAAATAGGTTGGTTCAACAGGTTGACTCGACTGCACAGTGCAGTGTGAATGCAAACTCACCAGCTCAAATGTAAACAAAAGGTCATGAATATTGGTCCCGAACCGAGTCTACCGGACTATCTGGTGTGAAAATGACCTTAAAGATGAAAATGTACCAGTGAGAGAGTCTGCGTGAAGTTAATGATGTCCAGTTAACCAGTGAATACAGGGTGCAGTGGTGGGTATGATAATCACAGCCAGTTATGAATCTTAGTGCACCATGATAGACAGCATCCAACATCTGCAGGGTTCTTGTAGGAGCGTTCATGTAGATAATGTCACCGTAATCAATGGAGGGAAGGAAAGTCACAGATACCAGGCGTTTCTTAGCATTCATGGTTAGACAGGATCTGTTTCTGAAAAAGAAACCCAGTTTAACTTTCAGTTTCTTTACCAAGTTTTCCACATGGAGCTTAAATGGAGGCATGGAAAACTTTGGCATGGAGTCATGCCAAAGTGGTTCAAAACACCAAAGTTCATGCTCAATAATAATCCATCCATCCATTTTCTTTACCCGTTTATTCCATTTTGGGTCACGGGGGTCGCCGGTGCCCATGTCCAGCAATCACTGTGCGAGGGGCGAGGTACACCCTGGACGGGTCGCAAGTCCATCACAGGGACACATAGAGACAAACAACCATTCACTTTCTCACTCACACCTAGGGACAATTTAGAGTTACCAATCAGCCTAACATGCATGTTTTTGGTCTGTGGGAGGAAACCGGAGCACCCGGAGAAAACCCACGCATGCACGGAGAGAACATGCAAACTCCACCCAGAAAGGCCCCTGGACCGGGGTTTGAACCAGGGACCTGCTCGCTGAGAGGCAGCAGCTCTACCAGTTGCGCCACCGTGCTGCCCCTCAATAATAATAGTTTCAATAAACAGAAACCGTCCAGATTACCCGACTGAACATTGGTGGATTTTTATCTGGATTAACGAGCATGAACTTTAGTGTTTTGAATCACTCTGGCATGACTGTCTCAGAGGAGTTGACGAGGGAGAGGGCGGGCCCCGGAGACCATTTTAGCATGGTTTCTGATTCCTCCATTGCAGTGGTGGATAAAATTGCTCCCTTTGCTCTCACTCAACGCCACCTCAGACAAGCAAAGAGTAAATCAATAAAATACCCCCCCCCCCCCCCCCCCCCGGCTACCCCCCACCTAAACACAATGTAACTTCTCCCCAATTGAATATCCATCCATTCATTATCTTTTACCTGCTTCTTCCTTAACACTTCACAGGACTCACTGATGTCCATATCCAGCAGTCATGGTGTGAGAGGCGAGGGACACCCTGGACAGTTCTCCAGTCCATTTGAATATCTTCCACCAAAAACACTTTACTTGCATCCAGTTGGGTTCCAGTCCAGAAAGGCTCATCTCAAAAACTACAAATATTCAGTATTAAAATCCCTCAGCAACAGAGCACATCGGATCAGCGTACCTGTTGTTACTACTAATCTGTTTCAAGCATGAATAATTTCTGTAGATATTAACAATTTTTAGGTGTAAAAATATTATGGACATGACTGAACACTAGTTTGATGTCGATGAGCAAGTCCAGTCCAAGTCGTTTCATTGTCCATTTTGTTTATAATCTAAATTTTGTTGGCCGTAGGACTAAAATTAGTCAGATTGAAAAACTTGTTGAGCTACAAAGAAACTCACACAGAGAACTGAAAACTTTATGTTGAGGTCAAGAAGGTTCCAGTAAATGACGTCTTGACTACCACAGCACAAGAACAAACAACGATTAGTCAAAGGGACAGTTTGAATGGTCTGAAGTCATGTTCTGTGGAGCCCTTATAAAGAGTCAATATCTCACCTGCTGCAGAAATCACTAAGGGCATTGTCAGAGCTGTGCAGGTAACTATGCAAAATTAGACAATGTATCTTGAACCCAATGTCCCCTTGAACTTATCCATTCATTATTGGGGCCCAAATCCAGCAGTCACTGCGCAAGAGACAGGGGACACCCTGGACAGGTTGCAAGTCCATCACGGGGACACAGAGACAAACGAGACAAACAACCATTCACATTCTCACTCACACCCATTAGTTGCCAATTAACCTAACATGCAGGTTTTTGGTCTGTGGGAGGAAACCAGACTACCCGTTGAAAACCCACCCATGCATGGAGAGAACATGCAAACTCCACCCAGAAAGGTCTCTTTCCAAATCATTCCGGCAATTTTCTCGCTGATAGGTGGCAGCTATTACAACTGCGCCACTGTGCTGCCGCCCCTTGAACTGTTATCTAATTTAGGATCACAAATAGGGTGCCAGACACATGCAAAGGATATGCTTGGCCATTAAATGATGATTAAACATGTTACATTTTTAAAGTCTGGTTTTAACTTAAATGTTTGAAGCTTGAGCTACATAGCACACTAAAGCTTGATTCCTTTGGCCCTTTAGGATAATAAGAAATATATCGATTGTGAATTAAAAACAGCTGTCACATTAAGAAGCAGCATATCCTTCCGGTCAGTATTCCAGGACAAACTCATGCTAAATTATCGGTTTTAAATAGGTAAATAAAGTTGTTTTAACCTGGGATTAACCTGTCTAAATAAAGGTTGAATGAATGTTTAGTGTTTGTTTTATCAAGGTTCATTCAGCCTGGTGATCACTTGTCTGTAACTCGTTTGAAGCGGACCAGTAAAAAAAACATACTGCAGTAAAATCGGTCTTTAGACTACCCATACACTTCTAAAGCCTATAATCATCCATCTACTGTAAAAATAACTGTGATTGAAAGGTTTCTAAAATAGTCTATTCAAGAACTGTTATGAAAAGATGAAAATTAATTTTAGGATGGCAGAAATTCCCTTTGAAAATGGCCTCACTCAGAAAAGTCACTGGTTTGTTTCCAAACTGTTAATGCTCACGAGAGACTCCTAAAGTCAAGAAAACTCCACAGACAACCACTTACGTATTTAAGTAAAAAAAAAACTATTTTGTCTGCAAAAATCATGTGGTCTCTGGGGTAATCAGAGCTACACAAACCTGGAAGGACTTCCATTTCTGCTCTGCTGCTTTAACAGCCACCAACCCTCCCATCCACCCACAAGAGCCTGATGATGTGCAGGCTCCGCAGAACAGGACTTCCAAACGATATCATTACCATTTCAAAGAGCCCACTGCTGCCGTATAAACGCACAATGTTACACGAACAGGATGTGTGTTGCCACAAACTGCCTCATCACTGCTCTTCTTTATGCCTAAATGACAGTTAACCAAGTGTATGTTCCACTTTTTCAAAGGGCGAGTTGCAGTGTGTTGTTTCAATTAGGGAACAGGCACGGATGCTGTGCTCCTCCACAGTTGTTGCAGGGCATCCTGTGAGGCATCACTGCTGCTTGTCAGGCTTTCAAACAAAAGCCTGACCAAAAAAAACAAAAACCAGCCAAAGCTTGTTACTGTGGCTGTCAATTACATGGTAGATCCAGAGCAGAGAGGGACTAATACATGCAGGCCTCTGTAGAAACATTTACTGAACAGTCAAACAATTCAATGAACATGATTATTTGAATCTCTGCCACAAAAAACAAGCGGCATCCACGAGCCAAAGGGCATGCTCCTCCTGAACGGACTCCTTTAAATTCTCCTGAACGTAAGCACACACACCGACGTAAGCTCACAGCGGCGTCCTCCTGCAACATTGATGTCCTCATTTATCCTATTCTACACAAATGTCAACCTTTGTCAGCCTTCATCCCTGCCTCACTCTTCTTCAGCTGCCCTCCACACCTTCAGCAGCTCATTTTTTTGTTCCTTTTTGCTTCCATGCTTCACACCCTTTTCATTACTCCCCTCCATACAACATATTGCTTCCCCCTTCCGTCTGTATTCCACTCACTCTCTTTATTAGCTCACACCCTCCTCTCTCCTCCACCCTGCATAGATATTGCACATTTCTCCAACATATCTGCCTCTCTCTTTGTTTTGCTTCACTGTCTTTCTTTTCTTCCTCAGCTTGGGGATCCTCTAGTGACATCACTACTCCTACAGTTACCATGGTTTCAGAGGGAAGGGACAGTAATAACTATTTGGATCAAACAGACGGGCTGTTCTAGCTCCAATTTCTTTCACCTAACGCACAGAAAAAAACATCAAATACATTTAAGAATGAGTACTTTATTAAAGTATCCAGACACAGTTTACAGGTGTGGGTGGGATTTAGCCAAACGAGGGAGTCTGATTTCAGGTCAGCGTTATTGACGGCTCTGTGTGAACGAACAAGTCGTCATCGTACAGGTCTTCATCCAGTTCACCATCTTCAGCAAAGTAGGTAGGGAAAGGAGGGTTGATAAGGGCGGAACGCTTGGATGGCAGTATAGTGTCTTTTACCTGCAACACACACACACACTTACTGAAACAAAAGAATCAATGACAGGTACAATCATTTCTGACTGAAAGTGGTTAGATTTTATTTATTATGATAACCTACATGTGTAGGGAGTGTGGGTCAGATCACAGCCACACAATTAGGCAGGAGTCACACAAAACTTGGTGAACAGACAGACTATCAAGTCAGCACTGATTGAACAGACTCTACTCAATTTGATATGCATGCTCGACAGACTCCAACTTCTTGGATCAATAACCGACAAGTGAAGCATAGTTAAAACACAAACCAGTAAAAATACAGCCTAGTATTCTTTAAAACCAGCTGACCAAATGAGCCAAAAGTTGTAAAAAAAAAAAAGTTACAATTTTGTTTAACTCAAATCTGCACTGTGGTGCAGTTTAGTAACAATATGTAAACTATTTTTTAATAGAAGCCATGTAGTTTTCCAGTAAACAATAAAGAAATAAATAAAAAGTTGTACATTTCTGTCTTTCAATTCAAAACTGTAATAATTTTTGGTTTGCAGTGCTGTTCTTTTATTGTCATCATCATGGTTGAACATGCATTCTATCGTTTTTGGCTGAACACGTATTCTATAGTCATGGCTGAACACGCAGAACATGTATTCTATAGTCATGGCTGAACACGCAGAACATGTATTCAATAGTCATGGCGGAACACATATTCTATCATCTTGGCTGAACACGTATTTCAAGTGCAAACAGATCGAACAAGATGTTAACAATTTTAACATTAACTATCTAGAACCAACTTGGCTGTGTTAGTGAAATATCTCACCAACAACTGAACAGATTTTAACAACATTTTCAGAAATAATCATTGGATTAACGTCTACAACTCATTAACTTTTGGAGACAACACAATTCAAGATGGATGTCATAGCCAACTGACCTTAGAAAACACTAAAGCGGTTATAATTCAGTTAGGTTTACAGATTGAGCTAAAATTCTGGCGAGGCGGTAGCTCAGTCATTTAAAGTACTTATTTCACGTGCTTGACCTTTCATTTTATTGCATGAGATTGTGCATATTGTTATTTTAAGGCCAAAACAGCTACAACTGTCATCATAAGATGATTTTAGTTTAACTCTGCCATGAAAGGTAGAGGGGATACACATTCCTTCAAGGAAAGCTAGCCCTTCATTTTTTAATCTATAGTTTTTATTTTTACTCTAATAGTTTTACAGTTGTTCTTAAACATGTTCAGCACTTTGGTCAACTCCCTTTTTACAGGCCTATAAATAAATTTCACTTGACTTCTTTTTGGGAATTTCAGAAAGAAACCAAGAAAACTAAAATCAATAAATCAGCCCAAGTAAAATAAAATCAATGAAATCCAATTGGTTCATCTTTGTTGGTCCTCCTCTGACCACCTTGTTTAGTCAACTCAAACACCAATGTGGCTGTCATGGATGGAGAAAGAAATGAATGAGGGCAGGGAAACAGAACTTCAAGCCCTTCTCTTCACAAATAGAACCCAGTCACGTAACGACACCCCCAATGAGTCGCTAGTTAATGAAAAGGCAGAAGAATTTCCAACGATCCTGTGAGAGGTTAGAGTTTCTATAGGCCCCTCTGTGTGATTTATTGTTTCAAGCTGCTGCATCGTGCATAAGGAGCTCTGCACAACGGCAAAGAGTTTTCTGTTTCGCTACTTTAAATTCATGTAATAAATATGCAAACAAAAATTAGATGGTGATCTGCAAGAGAACAGAAGAAACGGAGAAAATTCAGCTTAAACTGATTAATTCCTCCAACAAATAAGAAGCGTTTTGTGTTCCCATCTGAATTATATTTTCTTTCCCCTGGTTATACCCCCTAAGAGACCCCAGCCTCACCTTAGGAATTACTGGCCAAATGATTAGTTAATTAATTAGAAAAAAAAAAAAAAAACATGCTTAGAAAAATGCATCCTTTGTCAACCACAGTTTTAATTGCAATCAATAAACCTCAGCGGTTCCTCATTTACATACAGAGACTGGGATGCCTCAGAACGATACAAACAAAGGAACCAACCATCATGAACCTGCAAAATAATCTAATGTGTGTGTGAATGAAATGCAAAGAACATTTGTATTCATTATTGCTTGGCTCCCGAACAAATAATAGACGGCATGTATGCAACATTCTCATGAGGCAAGAACAACATGCTGAGTATAGAGACGGATGCTAGGGGGATATTACTAACATCATTAAGGTGCGTGCTCTCATTCCTCCATGGAAACACACACACACACACTGCTGATCCAGCATAAGGTCAATGAAGATAAATCGCTGTATCTTGCAGGTGTGACAGCGTTTCACAGGTGCAAGGTCACTTGTCGCGGTCAGAGCATGAAACATGCTGGAGTTGACTGGTGAATTCACACACTGCTTTATGTGTGTGATTATTTTTACCTTCAGGACACAGTTCCTGTGACCGGGAACAGAGCCGTGAACATACAGCAAGTTATATTTGGTATTCACCCTCCATATCTGGAAGACAGACAGGCAGGTCAGAGAATATTGAATTGAAACAGAAGTCAAGGACGGTTGTGATTTAAAAAAGCGATAGTGTTGCGTCAGAATCTACCTTCAGTCCGAGATCTGTGGTGAAGCGGTTACCCATTTTGCCAGGCATCTTCTTCCCTTTGAAAACTTTGCCTGGATCCTAATCAGTGACAAGAAACATCAAAAAGTCATGTTCACGAATTATGAGAAGCCAACTGTTCGTGTTTGGCACGAGTCTCGCAGAGTACGAGCCTTACCCCTCCTGGACCAGAAGCTCCTGGTCTACGATGAGTTTTGGTTTGACCGTGACTGGCAGGCTGACCTTTGAATCCCCATCGCTTCATTACACCTTGAAAACCCTTGCCGATGCTGCCCAAAACATAAAAATTGTATATATTTGTTAATTTAAGGCCAATTTAATTTGGATTTGTTGATTCAGAAAAAAAAAAAAAAAACAGGTTTGGATTATCTTGGAAAGTTGATTATAGATCTTCATACAACAGAAGAAGTGTAAGATGAAGGAAGCCAAAAAACAGCTAAAAAGGGAAAAACTGGCAAAACAGAGCTTACGATTTGGCTACGACGTCTACGTATTGGCCAGGACGGAAATGTGCTGCATACAGAGGAGTGCCTGAACACACAAGAAACAAGATAAAATGACTCGTGCTTGACATAAAAATGCATTAAATGTTTTTGTTTTCATACCTGGTTTGATGATGGCGTTGTCCGACACTTTAAAGAATGAGAGTTTCTGTTTTGCAGGCACGCCCACATTCCTGAACATCTCCATTTTCTCTTCGGACCTCTGTCAGTCAGTGTGAAGCAAAGAAAGAAGTTGATGGACGTGATAAAGTAAAGCAGAAGCAGTGAGCAACAGTTGGACTTTTAGAATATACCATGAGCCTGCTATGACTGTATGGGAGCCAAACACACGCACACCACACTTGCAGGCATTTGCACGCAGTCTTGGCAGTGAGCGTCTCTGACATTTGCTTTCACTCCGCTCGCTCTCATCTCAGCGCCTTTAGTCGCTCCAAACTCTTCCTCTTCCCTTCTGTTGACTGAAAACCAGCCTGCCAAAGCTTCCCCCTCCAACAAACTCCGGCTGGAGAACGATGTGGTTCAGTGAGAGGAGTTCAAAACGACTCCACAAGTGAAAGCCTGACACCGGTCTGTCAGGCTTCTATTGAGACTCAATGAATAAATGACATCTTGGCATATTCTTTCTTTCTTTCTTGGTTTTTATCTTAAAAAAACAGAATATTCAGCATGTTATTTTTAAATATTACATTTAGACATGACCTTTACCTTTGAAGGGGAGGGAGGATAAAGTGCACTTTATGTTCACTGAATAAATTTAAGACCATCTGTCACCTCACTTTTCAGTTACTTGGACTGAAATGCTTTAAAAAGCACTTTGAGGAAAAACAAAGCCTTGAGGTTCACAATAGAGTAAAAACACTTAATACTGAGGTTTACTTAGGGGATCATAAATGGTATAATTTGAAGAGTCATAACTGCTCAATTCATTTTAGAGTTCATATGATGCCTATTTGCAGGATTTTATTGTTATTTTGAGTATCTGCTATAACAGACTGTTTATGTTTATATATTTATGAGTTTTATTGCATAAGATAATGATGCAATCAATTAAAGGTCTAGACAGCTGCACGTTAATTGGGTCCCAACACAAATATTTCTACAGATGTGTTATTATCACTGCAAGACAAAACAAGTAGTCATAAAATAAAATACAGATGCTATGGCTTTTGTTGTTTTAAGTAAAACAACAAAATAAAAGCGTAAAAAAAAAAAACTTGAGCCAGACAAAAATAAAAGTAGCAACTTTCCCTTGGTAAACTTTTTTCAAAGTAACCTCAAACAAAAGTAAAACATCTAAATTCACAATTGAGCTAAAATCTTTGCGTTTTTTTAATCCTAAATAAAAAGAAAATGTTTTTAATTACGTACATAGAATGGTGATACGTTCTTCCCACCGACAATAAGAACAGCAGTGCGTCCGTCGTACTCTTCTTTAGGCAGGTGCTTTATTACATGGCAGTCCTGCACCTGAAAAAAAAATGTGAATGTGGTAAAATAAAAAAATCAAACAGCAACAACAATCAGAAAGACTGTCAGCACAGAATAAATTAAACCGCAGCCTGATTGCAGATGTCACCTTGCTGCCTGGTGCTCCTGAGCTCAGACATCAACAGATGTAATTAGATGGAAGTCCCAAATGTGAAGAATGAATATTTATCCACAAGGTTAGTTTACTTTCATAAGAAATCGTCTACTACAGCAGGGTAATATATCAGAGATGTTGCCAGGATTTCCTTTTACATATCAGCAAAACTTTTCAGTTTTTAAGCAAATTCTGTATATTTATGGTTTCAAGCATTAAAAATAGTGGGAGTCCGTTCAACTCAGGAGTGCATAGTTTGATATTTCTACTTCTCATTTTGCACAGATCATTACCACTAGTTAGAAAAGAAATGATCAAACGATGAGGCCAAAGTGAGCTGAGGGGGATATTAAGTTCCTTTTGTGGCTTTGAATCTGATAATAGGAGCAAGATGACAAAATTATAATATCTGCACATTGGTTTCCTTTTATGAAGTTGTATAATTTTATATTAACGTTACACAAAAAGGACAGTAAATTAAGAAATATATTATAAAATAAATATACAGTTTATATACTGCACATATATACTGTATTTTGACCACAGGTTAGCCATTGCACTCGCGTTGTTGCAGCTTTTATGCTTTTTTATTCCAGCTACATCGTAATTACTGTACTCTGAAAGATAATATTCTCTTTAAAGCACTCTGTATACTAACACTTGCACATTTGTTCAGAAAGGGTTTGCCACAATAAAAAGTTCTGGCAGCAAACAGTCCCCATCAGTCAACAGCATGAGCAGCATTTTCAGGAAAAGTTTTCCAAAAACAGTCAAAACTGTGGTTACATCGAGCATAAAAAAATATATAAAAAGTTCTGATTCTTTGTTACATTTTAACCTGAAAACTTGAATGTGAAATTGCTATTTTTTCACCGTGCCCAACAGAATCAAAAAATTATTTGACTTTTGTTTTGATCTGCAGGTCATTTCACACCAGATGCCAAACATTCACTGTAATTAATATTCCTGAAGAATACCAGAGAGCTCTTGAGTTAAAAAGCAGCAGCATAACATAAACATGATGATCTTACCTGTAACATGGTGACTGCAAATCTTTCTCCTGTTTTAGTCCAGATAGGAGCCATCCCTAACTTGACAGCAATTACTCCAACTCTTAGACTTCCTGGGTGGAGTAAAAGATTGTAAATGTTCAAGCGAACAGGAAGAGCACTCCTGACACTGCTCTATACTATTCGTGGAAACCTACCCTCCGTCCACTCGTGTCTCGGCCAGGGCTCATCTTTGAGTGGGTTGAGCCTCGCAGCTGTCAGTTGATTGTATTCTTCTGCCATGATGTTCCTCATGTACTTCTGGTTGTCTTCTGTGAGGTGTTCGTCAAACCAGGTATGAGCTGTATTGATACCACCCACCGGCGGGACAGGCCTGAAAAAAATAAAATAAAATTAAAGATCTGGTTAAGACTACTTCAGCAGTAAACTAACTAAATTGTGATTTTAAAGTTGAATTTATTTTGCTTTGTTGACTGCATTTTGTTTTCCATCCATCCATTATATGAATTCACAACAGCCACTAGGGAGCACAAGCCAGTGTATCTCTTGTGCCGGTTCCAAGCTCAGGTAAATGGTGAGGGTTGTGTCAGGAAGGGCATCCGACGTGAAACACTTTTGCCAAAACCAATATGTGGAAATTGTGCTACTGTTAGTTGAAGACCACGAGGACGGAAGCGTGTCAAGAGACAGAGGGAAAAGAGGAAAATCAAGAATGTAGGATTGAGGGTTGCAACTAAATGTGGGGACAATGACAGACAAAGGTCAAGAGCTGGCTGACGTGATCCATCTCCAAACTGCCTTTTATTTCTAAAATTTTAGAAAAAAAATGTATATTATACTATATGGGAACATAAAATGATGACAACACATAGCACTTGTACAAATGTTCTTTTGGATGAGCATAATATACTGGAAGTTTTTCAGTCTGGCTTTAAAACTCAGCACAGCACAGAATCAGCTCTAGTTGAGTTTTTAACAACATTCTTACGGCTAATGATTCTGGTGAACATGTGGTTCTTGTCCTGCTCGACCTAACTGCTGCCTTTGATACAGTGGACCACAACATTTTAATACTGAATTCACAGCACCAAGTGGGTATTAGGAATGTGCGATATATGCGGTACACGGTAGAAACGATAGACATTTAGCCTATAGATCTGTATTCTACCGGATAACCATGGTAATGCTGCGTCTGATGTAAAATCAGTTGTCAGATGTAATTGCTACTCTTTTTAGTTGAAAACTGTGCGTAAATGGTGTTAGAGTTTGTTTTCTTCGAGAGCTAAGTAGCAAAGCTGCAAGCTAACTACGGCCGAATATATTTCTCTCGGATGAGAGACGAAACGTTTCTACATTTTTTTGCCTTTTTTTTTTTTTGAATGTCCAGAGGACCAGATTGAACTTTTTTGGATTTTTCTACCTGGATTATTGAGCATGCATCAGGATAGGGAGAATGTAGGAAATAGAAAATAAGCTTGGCCTCCTTGGTACAATGTTTTTGTGTAGACACAAATCTCCTGTTTTCATTTTGAAGGTTTCCCAAAGAACAAGATGTGAGGAATATACAGTTTAACAATCTTGTCTAGGGTCAAAGTTCAGAATAATACCATTCCCATCTCTGCAGCGGTGCAGCTACAAGCCAGTTTTACCTCCAAGATGTTAAAATGGCAGAATAAGAAAACATCTGTGAGAAAAAAAAAAATTACTAAATCTTTAAAAAGAATAAATGATGTGATGATTAGTTAAAATTATTTTATATGTACAGTACTTTGTTGCAGCTGTGGTTGTTTTAAAGGGCTTTATAAGCAAAATATTATTATTATTATTATTATTTAAAAAATGCTGCAGATCTGAGGATCATTACTAATGTCACATGATTAATTTGAAAATGTCAGTTTGTTTTTTATATTACATTACTGATTATTTGTATCTACAAGTTAGAGTTCTTCTGAAGCGTTATAAACACAACAGTTAGTGCAAACAGGGCTTGACTGGAAGATTTTACTGTTAATAGGTTCTTAAAAATGTTAAAGAAGTTGTTAATATTAAAAGGCATATTTTGAATTAATGTTACAAATGTGTTCATTCCCACAAAACAGTTAATTAAATATTTATTAAATACACTGAATTTCAAATGTTACTGATTGAGATTAACATAAAAGAAATGCAATTTATGTTTAAATATCAGTTTTCTGTTGTAGTAAATCATCCGTTATGTCCCCTTTGTTTGGGACTGGAGCCCATCTCCGCTGCTTTTGGGTGAAGGCAGGGGACAGCCAGGACAGGTCTCCAGTCTGTCCCAGAGACAAACAACCAGGCACACTCCCAGTCACAGCTAGGAACAATTTACAGCTGCACAGAAGAGCCAAAATAGGGATTTAAACTGAGGACTCAAGTTCTCGATTGAGTTCTAATCACTAATTATCAATAATAATTGATCATATTTATCATGCTAAATCCTTACTGATAATCATTGTGGGGAGTTTCTAGTAATACAGATGAGATCAGGCAGTCATATGTAAATGTATTATACTATAATTAAAGGTGAGCCGTGCAAATTTGTTTGTATCAAACTAGGGCTGTAATATGGACAAAATTAATATCTCGATATTTTTAAGATAAATCGCAATATATGATATATATCCCAATATTTAAACATCTGCTAAATTCATGGCACAAACCAATGCAGGAGAGTGGTGATTGGAGCAGACCTGAATGGACATGTTGGTGAAGGAAACAGAGGAGATGAGGAAGTGATGGGCAGGTTTGGTGTCAAGGAAAAAAACCAGGAAGGACAGATGGTGGTGGGTTTTGCCAAGAGAATGGAAATGGCTGTAGTCAACACCGATTTACAAAAAAGGGAGGAACATAGAGTGACCTATAAGAGTGGAGGAAGGAGTACGCAGGTCGACTACATTCTGTGTAGAAAAAGAAACCTGAGGGAGATTGGAGACTGTAAGGTTGTGGCAGGGGAGGGCATGGCCAGACAGCATCGGATGGTTGTGTGTAGAATGACTGTTGTTGTGAAGAAGAGAAAAGGAGTAAAATCAGAGAAGACGACCAAATGGTGGAAGATGAAGAAGGAAGGTTAGAGTTTCTTTATTTGTCATTCACACCACATGTAGTACGTGTGGTGAAACAAAATTGTGTACACAGGGTTCCAGTTAGGAAGAATGTTGTGATAAATTCAGAGAGGAGCTGTTAAAGGCTCTGGGTGGTAAGAAAGAGCTTCCAAATGACTGGACTACTACAGCAACAGTAATTAGAGGTACTTGGTGTGTCATCTGGAGAGAGAATGGATGATAAGGAAACCTGGTGGTGTAATAGTGAAGTACAGGACATTATTCAAATAAAGAGATTAGCCAAGAAGAAATATGACTAAGAAAGGACTGAAGAGAGGAGACAGGAATATAAGGAGATGCTATGTAGAGCAAAGAGAGATAGTTAAGGCAAAGCACAAAGTGTATGATGAGTTGTATGGGAGGCTGGACACTAAAGAGGGCGAGGACTTGTACCGATCGGAGAGACAGAGGGATCAGGCTGGAAAGGCTTGATAAAGAGAGGAATGATAACGTTCTCACAAGTGAGGAGAGAGTGATGGGAAGATGGAATTAGTACTTTGAGAGTGGCAACTGTGGCAACCACTGAAAAGGGAAAAGCCAAAAGAAGAAGAAAAAGATGCATTCATTAACTTTTACTCGCTTCTTCCTTTTTGGGTTGCAGGGGTCATTGGTGCCCATGTCCAGCCATCAGTGTGCGAGAGGTGGGGGACACCCTGGACAGGTCGCAAGTCCATCACAGGGCCACATAGAGACAAACGAGACAACCATTCACTCTCTCACTCACAACAAGAGACAATTTTAGAGTTGCCAACTAGCCTAACATGCATGTTTTTGGTCTGTGGGAGGAAACTGGAGTACCTGGAGAAAACCCACACAAGCATGCCAGATAATCTTTGGAGACAAGATAACACATTTTCCCACATAAATAATAAAAACTACAAGCTTAAATAAAAACAAGATTTGCCTCCACCTTGAAGTTACTCTATGACTGATATTGGTTTTATAACAGACAGTTATGCTTTTTGCTCATGATAATCATAACTTGGCTTCACTGAAAGGAACAGTCCATTTGTCAAAAGCATGCAGTGGAAGTGATGCTGCCTGGCCAGCAGTTCCTTGAACTGATAACAGTTACTGTTTTAAATGTGCTATATAAATAAATGTGACTTGACTTCTAGAACAAACATGGTAAACAGATGATTCATATTTACAGTATATTGTTGCTAATCCCATTAACTTTTAAATCATTAATATTGACACTGTGCCCTGTCATCACTTTTAATAAGTGCCTTCATCGATCAGCAGGTGTTGATTCAGTAGTCAGAGACGGTGCAATTATATCTGCAAAAGTGCATTTTCTCCAGTTATCACTCAGTCAGTCTCAGTATCAAAACCGTGAGTTATGAAAACCAAATGATTGCTAATTTTGAAAACGATAATGGTTTAAAACAAAAATTTGTAAAAAAAAAAAAAAAAGTAAACTGTTGTTTTCGTCCAAAATAAGCTACTTTTCAGCAAACTGGAACCAACATTAGCACAACAGCTAGCCAGTTAGCATTACCTTTCACTTCCTGCTGTCCGATGAAAGACGAGCTGAGCTCCCCGCTGAAGAAGAAACCGACATCCCCGTGTTGTCATCATGCTTCTTATTACTGGTACAGACAGATAAATACAAAACTACAACACGTATATTACAAGGACGTGTTGTCGCACCACATCTGCTAACACATGCCTTCGTAGCCAGTAACAAATGTCACCCCAGACACTTCCGGTGCTTAATCAAAACAGTTCGGCAGCACCAGACCTATTGTTAAAGGTTCCGCTTACTAATTAATTTGACAGTTTTATCAAAACTATTAATAATAAAAATAACAACAACAACAATAATAATAATAATAAAAAAGATTATGATGATTATGATAATAATAATAACAATAATAATAATAATGATTATGATAATAATAATACTTTTTAAAATTATTATTATTGTTATTGTTGTTGTTGTTGTTGTTGTTGTTGTTGTTATTATTATTGTTGTTCACCAAAGTCCATGCGCAATAATCCAGGTATATCCATCCATTATCTTTACCCACTTATTCCATTTTGGGTCACGGGGGTCGCTGGTGCCCATATCCAGCAATCACTGTGTGAGGGGCGGGGTACACCCTGAACAGGTCGCAAGTCCATCACAGAATCCAAGTATAATATCCAACAATGTTCTTCCTCCGATTTTATCCTCAAACGGTGTCCCGATTGAGTTTGTCGATTCCTATAAATATTTGGGTATCTTGGTCGACTCGCATCTCTCTTTTAAGCTTCATGTGGAAAACTTGGTAAAGAAACTGAAAGTTAAACTGGGTTTCTTTTTCAGAAACAGATCCTGTCTAACTCTGAATGCTAGGAAATGCCTTGTTTATGTGACTTTCCTTTCCTCCATAGTTTACGGTGATATTATTTACATGAAAGCTCCTACAAGCACCTGCAGATGTTGGATGCTGTCTATCATGGTGCACTAAGATTCATAACTGGCTGTGATTATCGTTCCCACCATTGCTCCCTGTATTCACTGGTTAACTGGTCATCATTAACTTCACGCAGCCTCTCTCACTGGTTCATTTTCATCTTTAAATAACTTCTTGGTCTGCTGCCTTCATACATCTCCTCCTATGTCTCTGCATGAGTGCAGCTACAGCGTGTGCTCTCAGGACATTATTACCTGCAGTGTTCCCTCAGTGAGGACTGAACTAGGCAAGAGGGCCTTCTCCTACTCCGCTTCTGTTTCCTGGAATATCTTACAAAAACAGTTGAAGCTCTCCACCTTGACCTCTCTAAGTGGCTTTAAGAATCTGTTGGACTCCTGGCAGGGACCAATGCGGACATGTTCCTGTTTTTAGTTTTCTACATTCGCCTTAGAATCTAGCTGTTTTTTGTTACCTATTTTTAGCCATCCTATTTGTTTAAAAAATAAAAAAACTGGAGTATGACTTTTTTAACTGTTTATTGTTGTCACTGGTGTCCATTGTTGTCATCACTCTTTGTTGAAATCAGGTCTCTCTTGTAAATGAGTCCTCGAGGCTCAATGGGATTTACCTGTATAAATAAAGGTTGAATGAATGAATGTTCACTCAGGTCATCTGTATGGTTTCTTTCTTTCTTTCTTTCTTTCTTTTTTTGTGCAGAGATGTTTTGGCCTCCATCCAGAAGGCTTCATCAGTCTGAGGAAACGCCAAACAAAACTGCACAGCCTACTCCAAAGTGAAAAAAAAATAGTTATGTTGGTGCTAAGAAAATGAAATCATTCCTGAAACTTTTCTCCATCCACTCTGTCCTGCCTGGACTCTCTTTTTCACTTCTTTGCCACACTCCCCATTTTCCTGGACAGTGGACCCCAAGTACTTGAAGTCCTGCACCTTTGTGACCTCTGCTCCTTGTAGCCTCACTGTTCCACAGGATTCCCTGTCATTCACACACATGTACTCTGTCTTACTACGACTGATTCATTCCTCTTCTTTCAAGTGCATACCTCCACCTCTCTAAGTTCTCTTCCACTTGTTCCCTCACCATAGATCACAGATTAATGCAGTCCTTCTCAAATAGTGGGGCGCGCCCCCCTGGGGTTGGGGTGGGGGGGAGCAATGCCAGGAGGAGCGCATGTGACCCGGGGAACATTTTGTGGCAGGGAGTAGGTTTTTTTTTTGTTTTTTCACCATTCTCATTGTGTCAGGGTGCGTTCGGCAACTTTTTGCTAAAATCCGTCAACTCTCAGTCTTACTAATAATAAAGTTATGAACAAATATGTCTGTCTTGTCGTTTGGGGAGCCGTGCTTGAACCGTGTGGCTGTGACACCTCCTCAGCTGGTGACGCTCTGGACGCTTGTCAGCCACAGCACACATGCGACAGAGAATAAACTCAAAGCGGGAGCGTTACCTGCCCCTCTTCCTCTTTTACTTTAACAATTTTTTTCTTTTTAATACAGAAGTAATGTTTAATAAATGTTAGGACTCTATTCTTTGCTAACAAAATATATTTTGTCATTAAACAACTTGTCAGGTTCTTGTGAGCGCGTTCTCCTGGGCCCCCCCCCCCCCCCCCCCCTTCTATATAGAAGTGAGTTAAAGAAACTGAAGTTATCAGTGGCAATAGTATTTTTGTGAGAAAAGGAAACAGTTCATTAAAAATTGAGGCTTCTTTGTACATGATAAAAATACAAATAAATATTTTGTATTTAACATATTAAGGTGCTGCATGTAAATACTTGTGGATGTCTTAAAACTTTTTTAACCTAAAACGCTCACAGTGGTTCATGTGACATACTTTCTCTTCCAATGCTGTCATTTTCACATTGCTCAGATTTTCTGTCAGAAATATTATAATATTCCTGCTTGAACTGCCCCAGACTGCACCAGAAGTGCTACAGCTAGCTGTTGCTGCCATTTGCGCTTGTCCGTAACTTAGGACTCTTCGTATAAATTTGTGCAATGCAACACTGAAAGCAAAGTAAAGATTTTAAAACAGCATTCACACAAGCAGCTAAAGGATTTTTGAGATTGGAGCTATTTTAGAGATTCAGTTTGCTCTTGGGCCTGCTCAGATGAGCCATTAGCTCGGTCAGGTAGGATATTTTTCCGTAACCTTGCCACAGAACATCACTCCAAAAGAAAATCTTAACTATCCCTTTAATTTGCACCCATCTTATTTGAGACTTGCTTTCTGTTTCTGTAAGAAAAACAACACTGCATGATCTGATGGTGAGAAAAAAAATTAAGAACTCACAGTAATAGCAAAAAAATTTGGTATCACACACAAAAAACTAGTCACACAAAACTGAGAAAGCCAAAGTATCTTTATTATTATTATTATTATTATTGTTATTATTATTATTATTATTATCATTATTAGTATTATTATCAACATGCAAAATACAGGGGGAAAAAAAAACTATTTTCAGCTCACAAATTAGTCTCTACCACACACACTTGTCTACCATCCCAAAACCTTTTACAATTTAAGAAGGTTAGTAAGAAATTATTACAATTATTTATTAGTTATTCATTTCCATTTAGCAATATCACAAGCAAATCAGTAAAAAAGAACCCAAAGCATTCAAAAGTATTCTCTGCTTCACACAAATGACAGAGATACTTTATTTCATAACTAGCAAGAGGCTACTCCAGATTGGATATTAGTAGAACATGAATTATTCATGCATTCCTGCAGTATACTAACTGGAATGCCACCAGTCCCATAAATAGCATTTGCAATGCTAATTCAAAACATTTTGGAGTTGTGCAGGTTCACATTTAAGGCGTTCCCCCCACATGGACCTTTTGGTCTATGCACTTGCTAGTTATTTAAATAAGGTAGAAATGTCATTTTATTCCAGCGGGCTATAATCAGAGTCTGCATGCTGGTTAAAAAACTCTTTTATTATTTCTACCAATATCTGTTTTTAATATACAGTAGATAGTAATAATCTCCCTGGTGACGCCTTTTTGGCCAAACATGCAATAGTCATCAGTGAAGGAGTTGAAACTGTTTCACTATAACGAGCTAATTTTCTGATCTAGACTACTGTATGTATAGTTGTGTATACATATTTTTTATGTCTGCTTGTGCTTTTGGATGTGTATATGTACAATAGTTTAATTTATTGTTATAGGATGTCGAACTGAATATGAGCGTGTGTGTTTGGAGTTGTATGCAAACAGTGCTGCGTCAGGGGCTGAAGGTCATCGAGGACTCGTAGTCCGATATACACTTAGGTTTAATTCCTTTCGCGTTGTAGTAATCCACCACCTGGTTTGGGACTTCAGCTAGAACGCTCTTAGCCAAGGCAGCCGGGGAGGCCTGGAGATACAGACAGAGAGACAAAGATGGGTCTCGAGCAGTGCATTACCATATCTATCATTAAATCTGAGAGACCGATGCTGCTAAAGATACAGATCACAGACGAGCTCATCTGACAGCCAGAAAAACATTCCTGCTTTCACCCTTTTTTTGTTCTCTGGATTTCTGAATACAGTCTGTGTGCAACAAAGTGGCACGGCAGAAAGTTGCATCACATCCTCACAGCTCCTGTCATATTGTGCATAAAAGCAGTCTCTCGACACACCACAGAAGCAAAGGATCACACACTTTACATCACGCTGCAGTCCCTGCTGCTGCACTAGACAGCATGAGTTAATCATGCACACTGGTCTGAATATCTGTTTCCTTTGTAGATGTTATTTTTCTCCAAATAGAGAGGGCTGACATTAGTATGTGTTAACTAAAAGATAGCAAAACTCTACAATACTGTACTTAAAAAAACAGTATCTTCAACAGCCAAAACATGGTTAGCTACAACTCTTTGTGATCTCATAAATAGTAGTTGTTCTAGGATGCATAATGTAGAACGAGACAATCTCAGCATCAGCATCATCTTTTCAGCTAAGTTATGATACTATTTTGGGCCATGATTTATCAGGATCCATCAGTTCCTGGTCAGGGTTGTAGACAGCCAACCTCTGGAGGTTACTGGGCGAGAGGCTTGGTACATCCTGGACAGGTAGCCAGTCCATAAAAAGGAAACAAAGAGAGTATTAATGCTCACCTAGGGACAGTTTACCAATTAACCAAATATGCATGTTTTTGTGCTGTGGGAAGAAACAGGAGCAGTACTCTCAGAAAACCTGCTCATGCATCAGAACGTACAAACTCCAGGCAGAATGGCCCCAGTGGGACTTTGCGACAAGGCAACTGCGCTAACCAACCGTGCCACTGTTCAGCTGTGATTTATTAAGATATGCATGCTAACTGGCAG